AGTTTTATGCGCAAATGCGAGAATTGACCGGGCAAGTGAAACTCCGAGGATTTTTCCGCAGGTGCGGAGCCGCAGGTGCATTCCAATTTCCGCAGGTGCGAAAGACCTGTTTGGCAGAAAGAACGGGAATTCACCATTTTTGCCCATTTTTCTTTTATGTTTGGGCGATTTCAGAGCTTTTTGAGAGGAGATTTCAACTAGCAATTTGGATGTAAGTTAATTCTACACCTGTTGAGTTAAATACATAGATTATAAGTAGATTATACCTAGTAAATCTTAGAAATCAAAGGTTTAGGTGAAAAACCTAGATTTTTTATAAAAATGAGATTTTAACCATGAAAATAGTTATGAAATTGGGTAGAAATTATATATTTGAGTTCTTGAGATTATGGGTAACGTTTCCATCCGAAAATTTTCAGAATTCGGGCACGTGGGCCCGGAGTGAATTTAGGAATTTTACCATTTTGGATAGGGTAATTTATTTAATAGATGAATTTCGAATTATTGAACATATATTAATCATTTTATATAACTTTTGGATAGTTTCGGATTTTTCGGCATTGAATCGAGAATTTTACATGATGCGATAATCGAAAAGTGGATTTTGAGGCGAGGTAAGTCTCTTGTCTAATCTTGTGAGGGGAAAATTACCCCATAGAGATTAAATTAAATAATTATTGATAATTGCGGGGGCTACGTACGCACGAGGTGACGAGAGTTCGTGCGTAGCTACTATTAATGCTAAAGTCCAGGTAGTTTAGGACTCAAAGTATGAATTACTTGTGTAAATTGTATTCCTTGTTTAAATAATATTATTTGATATATATATATATATATATATATATATTCTGTTTAAATTAATTAATTATTAAAAGAAATTATTCTTCCTCCCGAATTTATCTCATAATAAATATACTCTCCTTCCGGAGGTACATAAGAAAATGTCCTCCTTTCTTGTAAAGCAGGCCGAACGCCTCGGCAGGATAGATGCATCTATGGATCGCGCCGCATGTCCCTCGGCAGTGTACACGACACTCTGGATCGTGCCGTACGTACTCGGCAGAAATCGTGTTTAATAATAATAATAATAATAATAATTACACGATACTTTAATAGCTTATTTCAGCTTGCGAAGCTAATTGATAAATTGAAAAATCTTTGGAATTTAATGAGTTATTATTCTTGCTTGTTAAATAATTAATTGTTATTCCTAAAAATGATATTTAATTGATAAATTAGAAATTTTTTGAATTTAAGGAATTTAATTAATATACTGAGAATTGTTGCATTTGAAGAATTTTGATTATTTCCGTTGATTAAATAAATTATTGTAAATTCTGTAAATCATGTTGATTTATATATCCTAGTTATATTTCAATTATTATTATTGCCCCATAGTGAATATCAAAGTCGGCCATCTCGTCTCTACCACTTCGAGATTAGGTTTGATACTTACTGGGTACACGTTGTTTACGTACTCATACTACACTTGCTGCACTTTTGTGCAGGAACTGAGGCAAGTACTAGTGGGGGCCCTATCGTCTTACACCCACGTTATCCAGAGACATAGTGGTGAGCTGTTTCTCTGATCCGTTCTGCAGCTACTAGTGTCTCTCTTTATATTTTAATTCTGTCTATTTTTATTTCGGACAGCATTTGAGGTTTTGTATAATCTACTAGATGCCCATACACTTAAATGCTGGTGTCACAAGTGTACACTGATACGTTATCTCTAATTTAATATTGCAGTTATTCAATTAAATGTATCCCATAAAAGCATGCTTTAACTACCAGAATAATACAATAAATTAACGGAATAAAAGTTTTAACATTTATGTTGCAAAGTAAGAGGAGGAGGTCTTCCTAATGATCTTTTGTCAAAAGGTATATATTTTTTCTCATAAAAATGTAGCTTCTCAATATACAATTAATAATAATTTAATTTATTTTAATTGTGTAGTTTTAAGAATCTATGCAACTTTTATTTTAATTTTAGGTTTTATTTTTCTTAGTCTTGGACTTTCTTAATTAGATAAAACTTAAGTAATATTCATTGATAATATACAGTTAACTGTATGTCACATAGATTATTTACTACAAATAAACTAAATTTATGAATTAAACCAAATATATTTTATTTATTGGCGATTTGCTTTCTNTCCTGGACAAAAAATGCGTGCACAGAGGCGCACAGAGCAGTCAGTTGAACGTAACAACATATACTTGATGTTGGATAAAGAATTATCCAGTAACATCTGATAAGCTCCAATAATGATAAATAAATGACTAACAAACGAACAAAAGAGAAAGAAACAGGTTTGAAGATATCAGCTCTTATGCGGGAAGGGGATGAAAGATGTTGCTTCCAAAATTTTATTAGACTAAACAAGACTCAAGGGATAGCCCTAAAACTATAATTTTCTACACCTTGCTTCCTCCCAAATGGATAAACCACCTACACAAGAGGTAAAAAATTTATCTTCTTTAAATCATAACTAGCTGATCAGCAATTACACATTTTAGGTACCTCAAATATGATGCCATCCAATGCCATGGCATTACTAGCTTCCTTTAATGTTCTCATTTCAACAAAAACAAACTTCTTTTCATAGTTTATAGACATTGACAACAACATCCCCTGAAAATTTTCAACAATACTCTAAGCATCTGAAAGGTAAATTTAGTTGTACTTATATGACAAAGGAGGACAAATTTTAAACTAACCTGGACCAGCTATGTTTCCTCCAATTGCAGACATAACATGACTAAAGAAGGTCGCAACAGACTGTATGAGAATCAGTGTGTCAAGAGAAACAAGAGGTATGTATGAGAGCAATGTCAGAGATAGGTCATAGAAAATCAGCTTTAATCATGAGGTAAAAAAGAAAAAACTACATGCAGATTTTCTCTCTCAACAGATAGTGACTTCAAGGGATATCTTCAAAAAGAAATATCAAATAATGGTACATGGAATGAGGTTGGTTCTGTGACACTTTACTATAAATTATTAAATTTCAAAATATTTATTCTTTAAACATAGACGTGAATAGTACTTTGAGCACCATTCAGAAAATCACCACATACCATATTTATATAGAGAGTAATAGTAAATAAGTGAATGACTAAGAAAGATTTTCACGATGGTGACAGTAAGAAAGGTACTACTACTGATTTCATACTATGTCGACAGTAAATCAGATGAAACTAAGTTATATTGACCGAAATGACGGCGTAACAAATTTTACATCCAAAAAATATAAGAAGTACTAAACCACATTAAAAATATTGAAGTGAATCTGAAAGATATCAAAATATGAAAAGGAACTAAGCAACTTCCAAAATTTGAGTAGCCAACTTTTAAACAACCCAAGTCAAGTCACAAGAAATTCCAAATTTGAACCAAAGTGATTCCAACCGCATAATATCTCTCATATTTGAAGGCGAAAAAAGATGAATCACTCAGACACGGTTAAACTCAAAGGGCAACCTGGTGCACAAAGTATCCCGTATTTATGCAGGGTCCAGGGAAGGGTCGCGCCCTAAGGAGGTGTGATGTAGGCAGCCAACCTGATGCAAGCATCAATGGATGATTCCACGACTCGAACTTATAGGCCACACGGAGACAACTTGACTGTTGCTCCAAGGTTTGCCTTCGCACAGTTAAAACTACTATGCAATGAATACAGGAGAAAGTGTTCATCTAGTTTGTTTCAACAAATAAACATTATATGAAAATGTCAAAAAGATCAACTACTTCTTGAGATTGGTAGAGGGTGATCTAATACATGTTCATTTGCATTAGCCGGAAGTCCACCAACATAAACTCGCCGAGCATGCCTAGTAGCCTGATAACAGAACAAGTTAGGAAACACTTTAGGTTAAAAAAGAGGAGCTCATACGCACCGTGAGCTTGAAAAGGAAATTACTAACACATTACCAACCTTATGTGTCATTGCCTGGATCGGCATAACAGGAAGAACTCCAAACTACCACAACCAACAAGGAACAAATAAATGAGAATCTTGATAAAAGCATTGAATCCACACAACTGAAAAGGGAGTGCTGACAGTACCTGGCCCGATGCTAAAGGAAGCATCGCTTGTGACGGCGAGACCAAATTGAATCAACGATCTTCTCTTGCTTTTGTTGAGCCACACTTCAACTTTTATGATGGCTCATTTTGCATTATTCTTTTGTTATCCAATATTGNGAGAGTGAGTATTTACATTTCCCTATTAAAATGATTTTGAAAGAATAAATGAATTCCGTATTAAGAAATATAAGTAAAAAAATATAAGGAGTAGAAATTTTACAGTGTATTCAGAAAATATTTGTAACTACCAAACAGGCAATTCCTGGATGAAGATGAACACGACCTGTTTTGGTTCTTCCTTGTACATAAAAGCTACAAAAGTCTGCTCACACCCATTGTCAGTACAGTGGGGCAAGTAGCCCAATATTGCCTTCTTAGAACATAAGACAAGACATACAAAACAAACAAACAAACACAAAACACAACAAGAAACCAAAAACCCTCAGTTTCGGAATTACTTCACCAAGTAAACAATAAATAAAAACAAAAAAACCAATCTACTCCATGACTCAATACCATTATAGGTGGAAGTTAAAGAACCAAAAAGCTTACCAAAACGTAACCATGCATTTTGATATGGACTTCCATACTATGTCAAAGAAAAATGTGGCAGTTATCAACATAATATCAGCTGTAACCTTAATGATGAAACAAGTACCTGCAGCAGCCGTAGTGCCAGGTAACATTGCAGTGGCAGGAGGTTCCATATCATAATCACCACAGATTAAAAAGAGGTGAATCAAATAAAAAAGGGTGAAGCAAATATGAATATCATTTCTAAATATGCCTTCAAACCAAATATGGATACCATTTCTAAACATACCTATACACCAAATAAATGAAATAAATATTACTTAGTTATGCAGTACTATTACCTTCATATAAATCAACATATAAAATAAATTTTCTATTCAAACATGCATGTATCTGATGCTAAGTTAGTAGCAACATTTTTCTCTACTACATCATCTATTATATGGTCCGTAGCTAGTTGTACATACTCATCACCATCACTAAAGAACTGTTCGAGTTCTTGATCTTGGTATGGTTCATTCTCATATACTTCATCTTCCACTACTTCTTCTCCCATATCATACAGATCTCTTGGCTTTAGATGCACAGCAACACTCCACCCTTTATTGACAACATCATCTACATAGTACACTAGTTGTGCTTGAGATGCTTCGATATAAGGCTCATGTTCTTCACGTTCACCTGTATGAATCAATCTATCAAAATTAACACAATTTAAGTTCCAACGATCCTTTTTATACCCTCTATCTCGAGCAGTATCAGCCCATCTACATTTGAAAAGAACCACCTTGAACCGACCATTATAATTAATCTCAATAATATCTTCTAACTTCCCATAATATGGTAACTCTGCTTGCCTTAAATTTCCATCTACACTACTTGCAATACATGATGTTTTAGAGGTTAAGAAAACTCCACTATTCTGTGTTTGTAGACCTTCTTCTCGAGCCAAAGTTCAAAATTTGGACCCATTGATGTTATATGCAGTAAAACTTCTTGCATGTGCCGATGGACCTCGTACAAGAAACTTTAGATCAATAGACATTGTATCTATTGTGTCTGGATTCAAAATCTAAATCAAAATAAAATTGTCTTAGTGTCATTCAAATAAAATGAAAATAATAACTAATGATTACTTACTCACCCGCTTTTGGAACCAATCAACAAACTCTTTATTAACTCTCCTCTCTATCTCAGTAGGCGATGGTCTTCTTCTTGAACTCCTCCTTATGTACTGTCTAAATTCGCTATATGTAATAATTACATTAACATTAAAGAACATGACTAGCCTACTTCAAACATTACAATGATAAATAATATAAAGTCCGTATGAGTTACTCACTCCACAAATGGCGTGACAATTGCATAGTTCAGAAGCACATATCGATGAGCTTGTAGTTTCTGTATATGAGTTAAAGGGAATGTAACCGAAGCTGATACAGGTTTACCTAATTGAGGGACCTTCCAGAAGGCTCAGTGACATTTGGGTCATTACGAACACGCCTAGGCCTATTGAATCTTGTCTCAATATCCTCAATATACCGAGAACAAAAGGTAAGAGACTCTTTAGCTAAGTAACCCTCAGCTATAGAACCCTCTGGTTGTGCTTTATTTCGTACAAATGACTTAAAATGGCCTAATTCCCTACAAAAATAATAGGAAATAAGTGTACAAACTATTTAAAATGACCAGAATACAAGTATATTCAAATTAGAAGTGTTAATGTTTTACCTCTCAATAGGATACATGTTTCGGTGATGCACTGGACCTCCCAGTTTTGCCTCTTTTGCTAGATGGACAGACAAATAAACCATTACTGTAAAGAATGATGGAGGAAATAGTATCTCTATGTGGCAAAGTATGCTTTCAATGCGCTCTTGGAGCTTATCAAGCTCCAAAAGATTCAAGGTTTTGCTAGAAAGGGCACGAAAAAATGAGCAAAAGTCCACCAAAACTGCAACTACATGGTCTGGCAACACATTGCGGATCGCCAATGGTAGCAATTGCTCTAAAATAATATGGCAATCATGACTTTTCAATCCAAAAATCTTTTTTTGTACCAAATCAACACATCTGGAAATGTTACTTGAGTAGGCATCTGGTACTTTAATATTCTTCAAAGTTGTAAGGAACAACTTTTTGGTGTCCAGCTTCTTTTTGTTATCAGTCACAAGTGAAAAAATAGCAAGATGATATTTTCCACTATCATCCGGCCAAAGATCACGCCTTATGCCTATTTCTCTTAGATCCTTTCGGGCATTAATATAATCTTTTGATTTTGATTTATCATGCAGCAGTGTATATATGATATTGTCACATATATTCTTTTCGATATGCATAAAGTCTAAATTATGATGTAACAAGTTAGATTTCCAATAAGGAAGTTCAAAAAATATACTTCTCTTGTTCCATTGTTTAGTTGCTCTTCTAGATCTTTTCCCGCTAACATTCAACTCTGCTACTCTCCTTTCTTCAATTTGTCTCAAAATGTCCAACCCTAATAATTTTAATGGTGGATTCCGCTCCTCTGTACTTCCATTAAAGCGTACTCGATTCAATCTAAACCTATGATTTCTTCTCAGAAAACGTCGATGACCCATAAAACACCACTTTTTACTATGACGAAAACGACAAGGTTCTGTGTCAAAGTTACAAGTTGGGCAGGCAAAACCAGTATGTGTGTTCCAGCTAGATAGGATACCTAATCCAGGAAAGTCACTGATTGTCCACATAAGAGCTGCATGCATTCTAAAATTTTCTTTCAATGATGAGTCAAACGTTTCAATACCATCATTCCATAACTCACATAATTCCTTCACGAGGGGCTGTAAGTACACATCTATATTATTTCGAGGCATTTGCTTGCCTGGAATAATCATTGATAAGATGAAGGAGGTGTGTTTCATACACATCCAAGGATGAAGATTGTATGGAATCAAGAAGACTGGCCAAATACTATAGGTAGTACTCATTGTTCCAAAAGGACTGAAACCATCAGTAGCAAGGCCTAAGCGAATATTTTGAGGATCCGAAGCAAATCCAAAATGAGTCCGATTAAATGTCTTCCATGCCTCACCATCCCTTGGATGTCTCATCAACCCATCTTCGTTACTGCTTGAAGCATGCCATCTCATATGCTCAGCAGTCTTACAACACATAAATAATCTTTGTAACCTTGATTTTAATGGAAAATAATGTAAAACCTTTGCAGATTGCTTTTTTTTTTTCTTGTTAGGATTCCATTTAGATGTACCACAATGCTTACATGCTTCCAATTCTGAGTCACCTTCCCAGTATAACATACAATTATTTGGACATGCAGGTATCTTGATGTAGTCAAGGCCAAGTTTGCTAATGGTTTTTTTGGCCTCATAAAAGGAAGGAGGTAAATTTGCATCTTCAAATGTATCTCTCAACAAATCTAGTATCATGGTCATTGCCTTATCACTTAATCCACAATAGACCTTTATATGATACAATTTTATTAAAAACTCTAACTTTGTGTACTTGCTCCCTTCATAAAGTGTTTTACTTCCATCTTTGAGAAAATCATGAAAGTCACCAGAATCCTCCCTATGCCCCTCATTTGATATTTCATTTGAACACAATGGTTGAGATATCCCTACATCAGCCGCTTGGTGCCTATATTGCCCAAATGCATCATTAATCATTGTTTCTATTGAATTTTCTGGATGAAACATCTTTTGCATAACATCTCTATCTCCAGAAGGCTCTACTACCTGTTTCTCACCATGAAGATTCCAAATAACATAATTTTGCGGGAATGGCTTGCAAATCAAATGATCCTGCACTATTTCTCTAGTTTGCCACTTGCCAAAACCACATTTAGGACATGGACATCTGATTGTATCTTCCACAACCGCATTCTTAAACTCAGAATCAAGAAATTTATCCAAACCAAGCAAGTATTCGTTTGTGTTCCGTGGCTTTTCAATCCATGATTTATCCATTGGAAAGTAATAAATAAATTAACAGGAATCGATTAGAATATACCTCCAAAAGCAATCATCCAAGTCTACGAGTATCTTCAGATTTGGCTATACTTCCAATCTACTCCAAGAATTTCAAATGCTCTTTCAAACAAAGTTAATTCCAGAAACTGGCAGAGGACAGAAAGAACCAATGAAGAATTCCTACAAAGGACCCCTTATATATATATGTTCGTTCATTTATTGAAGGATAACAAGCAGTAGAAAAAAGAGGGCCAGAACTACAAACGAAGAAAAACCTAATCAGAAGAAATTTCAATATTTCCCACGGTTATTGCTTATGGAGGATGGACTTGCCGCTTTCCTTGCTTAAAATAAACCGTCAGTGCTTCCAATTATTTAAAACTAGCAATTTATGAGAATTAATAGTATTTATATTAATATAGAGAACTTTCCACTCTTATGAGTTATGGTAAATAAGTGCTTTAAAGAAGGTAGAAAGTTTTTAAGATTTGTGAAACCAAAAAGGGCAAGGATTCTGAATGGAAAAATAACGTTTAGGGTTAAGAAAGAATGACTTTGGGGCACTAAATAGTTTTTCCTCTATTCATTTATTTTAATTCTTACTAATTTTAAGATATGCTTTTACGGATGTATCTACATAAATAAGTATACAATTAAAAAATCAAATAAGAAGTATTTTAAGTTATAAAATACAAGTTAAAGAAAAGGTATAAGCTCTTGAAAATAAATAATATTGATATTATTTAGCTAGATCAACATAGGATAAATCTTGTCATATAGAAATCCTATTACATATAATGAAACCATTGATAAAATAATATTCTAAAATAAAATATTGATGAAACAAACGTAAATCCAAACAACATACACATAGACTCCAATTTGATCAACCCATTACTTCGTCCTTCACGTCTCACAAGAATGTCATAATCAATTTGAGTATCAACAGATATATTTCGTCACTAATTTACAAAAAATTTAAGTAGATATAACTGTATCTGAATTTAAAGTTCACTATAAGCTTAAATCTAAATGTTTATAACAACTATAAGATAATTGTAATTATTACATCCACTAATAATTTTATTGAGCTTTTCTATCACGACCCAAAAATTCAATAAAAGTCGTCATGGCGCCGGACACCACTGTCAGGCAAGCCAACACTAAATAATTAAATAAATCCTCATTTTAGTGTTTCTGAAAACATAAATTTGCTTCGATTTAACTAGTAACAAACGAACTTTAGGAATAATAATACTAATAATGTTTTCCATTTTCAATACTAAATATCCCTTAATCATCCCAGAACTCGGTGTCACAAGTGCATGAGTATCAGCTAGGAAGATAAAGTAAAATACAACATATGTCTAGAATACAAATTAGACAGGAAAATACATAAGTAACTCTGAAGGGGACTCTGTCGGCTGCGGATCGTAGATGAAAATGCAGCTCACCTAAGTCTCCGCATTTACCACACCTCGGCACCCGAAAGGCTGCTAGACATATATGCACATGCACAAAAATGTGCAGTAAGTGTAGTATGAGTACGTAATTCAACGTGTACCCAGTAAGTATTTACCTAACCTCGAAGAAGTAGTGACGAGGGGTCGACTCAGACACTTACTATAGCCAACAATAATATACCGATGATATGATAAATTATGAATTTTATAAGGCAATTGTAAACTCAGTAACATGAAGCAGGTAAATAATTCTTTTGTTAATAGGGGATTTCCAAATTCCTATTTCATCATTTATCAATTTATCTTAGACCAGGGAGGCAATATCATTATTTATAAATTTCAAGGCAAATAATACAAGCATGCGCAAATCATGCCGAGGTCGTACGACCAGATCCAACATAATATTTAAACTGTGCACTGCCAGAGGTTCGAATGGCGCGAACCATAGATGCATCTATTTAATCTACCGAGGCGTTCGACCCATTCCACAAAAGATAACACATTCAAACTATCAATCAAGAATTTATCAAGGGGAAATTATCCAAGAAAAAAGGCAATTTCTCTTTTAAAAGTCAAGAAAACGATGTCTAGCATTTTAGAAATTTATTTACAAAGTTCGATATGATTTAAGCATTTTAAATTGACAACAAGATTGCAAATATTACAAGTAAAGCATGCTTTTGGGTCCTAGATTACCCGAACTTAAGCATAATAATAGTTACGCACGGACTCTCACAACCTCGTGCGTACGTAGCTCCCACAAAGAGGATCACACATTGATTTATTTTACCTATGGGGTAAATTCCCTCTTACAAGGTTAGAAAGGAGACTTACCTCACTCCGAAATTCCATAAACGGCTTCCGAACCCTTCAAACAACTCGAATCGATGCTCAACGCCCCAAAACTAACCAACAATTATGCAAACCCATTAATATATACTCAAATACTCAATATAATCCAATTTATAACAATTTCTAACCCCGACCGAAAAGTCGATAAAAATACCCTCAGGCCCACGTGCCCGGATTCCGAAAATTTTCGAAGATAAACTTTACCCATAACCTCGCGAACTCAAATATATAGATTATTCTCAATTCCATGCCCAATTTTGTGATCAAAAATCCAAAATATCAAATTCTAGGTCTTATACCAAAACCCCCATAATTTATACTAATTTCATGTTTAAATCCTTATACAAACCATGTATTTTACTTATAATAAATGGGAATCACTTACCTTGGCATTGATGACGAAGAATGAGCTCCAAAATTGCTCTAAGACCGGCTCTCATGGAGAAAATGGGGTGAAAATGAGCCAAGCTCTCGTTTTTAAAGAACACACTGCCCAACCCCGACGTTCACACCTTCGGTCAAGTAGCCACACCTGCGGCTTCGCAGGTGCGAGACACCTTCCGCTTATACGCCTTCTTCTGGTCCTGCAAGGCATTTTTTGCTTCTGCGCTTGCGCAGATGCGGCCCAAAGCTCAGCACCTGTGGTCCTTCACCTGGACGGCCTGCTCCGCATCTGCAACTCCAAATGTCTCTTTTGCGCCCTCCTCACCTGGCCAAAACCTCGCAGGTGCGGGTACACCAGATATCAGTTGCCTCAACTCTTCTTCAAATTTCAAATTCGATCTGTTAACCACTTGGAATCCACCCGGGGTCCCCGGGACCCCTTACAATCACACCAACCAGTTCCAAAACACATTACGAACTTAGTCGAGCCTTCAAATCACATCAAACAATATCAAAATCATGAATCGCAACTCAATTCAAGCTTTATGAACTCTAGAACTTCAAACTTTTACATTCGAAGCCGAAACCTATCAAATCACGTCCGATTGACCTCAAATTTTGCACACAAGTCATATTTGATATTACGGGCCTACTCAAACTTCCGGAATCAGAATCCGACCCCGATATCAAAAAGTCCACTCCCGGTCAAACTTCTCAAAACCTTCAAATTTCTAGCTTTAGCCAAATGACTCCAAAATGACCTACGGACCTCTGAATCCACTTCCGGACGCGTTCCCAATACCAGAATTACTATACGGAGCTATTCCCAAACTCGAAATCCCAAACGGATATCGATAATAAAATTCACCTCCATCTCAAATTCATGAAATTCTTCCAAAGTGCTAACTTCCACAATAGGCGCTGAAACGCTCTCGGGTCATCCAAAACCCGATCCGAACATACGCCCAAGTCCGAAATCATCATACGAATCTACTGAAACCTTCAAATCCCGATTCTGAGGTCGTTTACTCAAAATTAATCCTTAGTGAGATTCTTTCAACTTTAAGCTTCCAAAATGAGAATTCTCTTTCCAAATCAACTTTAAACTCCCTGAATCTCAATTCCGACTACGCATACAAGTCATAATACCTGAAGTAAAGTTGTTTATGGCCTCAAACTGCTGAGCGACGTGCTAGAACTCAAAACGACTGGTCGGATCGTTACATTTTCAAAGATACCTTTTTATTAATTGTGATTAATGAACTATTATCATCGTTCACAAGAGTACTTTAATTTTAGTTTTGATCTTGTCAACTATCTCTCAACCAAACTATAATATTCATATTCAAGTTTAAGGCCTTTGGCCAAACTTATTTTCCTATAACACCTTTTTCTCTTGCTAGTATTAAAATTCCCCTCAAGTTTTCCTTCATATATCAATGTTCCAAAAAAGTGTATTTTTTCCTCTTTCAAAAATATGCAGATCCTCTTTTGTATTTTTGTTGGGGTATTAAGTAATATCACATAAATTTGAAATGTTAGTGTTAATGATAGTAATATTTAAAAGGAGATTTAAATATCGTATATATTTACAAAGCAAAAAAGCATAGAGTCTAAGAAACTAAATATCCTTGAATATCGAAGAAGTGCAGATTAATATTAACGACTTTAGTAACAGCTAGTTCTTACTTATTCTTTATGGACTTTGCTGCTTTGATTTTCTTGTTTTGTGAAAATTATATGTTACATAATTCAAATAAAAGAATATTTATAACATATATTATTTAATAGTAATTTTTTAAAATATTTCAAATAAGAAAGGATTTAATCCACTAATTGACTTAAACTCTTAAATATTAGGCGAAAACTTAAATATTACGCGCGTAAACTCCTATTAGAATGTTATTATTTCTTAAATTAATAAAAATTACTAAGTAATTTATCATAATTATAAACTAAAAATCAAAGGAAGAATTAAGTCTAGTGTAATGATGGAGGTTAATATGATATTTGAAGCAAAGGAAGAAAATGTACCTCACAAAGTCCTAAAAATTCAAATACCTTATTGAATTAACCACATATTATTGAGTTTTACTCAAACGATATAAATGCCAAACTTTTGAATTAATTGACTTGCATCTTTTTTTCTTTGTTTATTCCCATCTCCTAAGGTTGGTTCGTGCATACTGGCATCATCAGCATATCACACCAGATCTAGAGGCCCTCCACCTCCTCATCCTCCAAGTGATCCCAAGAACAAAGGAAAAGCTAAGATGGACGATATGAGTGGTATCAGGA